TCCTGGTGTCATCAGTCCATGGTGCGGGAGCAGTAGGTGAGAGATGGATCCGATCCATTTTTAACCCATCCCACATTAGGTTAACTTTATCTTTTCCTTAAATCTGTTCTCTAAGTAATTAGTAGCCCCAATTTTATACTTTTCTGTTAAAAATTAAGTAAATTCATTTTATTTTGTTTGTGATGGAGTATCAATATGTAGCCCAGACTGATCTCAAACCTGTGATTCTCTGAGCAGTTTCCCAAGTACTAAGATTACAGATATGAGCTACCCTGCCCATATGAGGTCAGTTGCCTACAGATATAGCTGTCTCTGCAAATTCAAGACTAATAACAGATTTAAATTTTTGTCTAAGAGAGGAAACAGTTTTATAATGATAAGTCCCTTTATTTTTCTAATATTTAAGTTATTGTACATGTAGTTACAGATTAAATGGATATTTTCGCATATTTAAATCTAGTAAAAAATAAGTTTATTTCTTTGAGGAAGGAAATAGAAATATGAAACTTAGAAGTACATGATATATTCTTATTTTCATGTATGTTCTATACCTAGGAATCCAGGTCTGCTGTGACCTGTTACAAAACAGTTATTATTATATATATCTCTGGCTTTTAACACACACACACACACACACACACACACACGTGCGCGCACACACACAAACTCACACATGTACACACTGTCAGTCAGGATGCAGAAAAGTGCCATTACTCTCAAAAATCTCCCTTATATTACCCTATTCTAGAACCCTAGCAGCTGGAAAACATTGATTTGTCCTTTCATTATTGTTTTTCCCATTTTTAGTGTACCATATTTTTTAGTCCATTTTCTATTGATATAACAAAATACCCAAAGTTGATACTTCAGAAAGAAAAGATTATTTAGCTCACTGTTTTAGAGGTTGAAGAGCAGAATGCTAACCTCTTGTATTCTAAGCTCAGCTCTATTAGTAACGTGGTAGATAGCATCTTAGCAGAAACAAAAGACATATAGGGAGGAGAGATGATGTGATAATTTAAGAACCAGAAAGATTCAGGGGATAGGCTCACTCTTTTAAAACAAAACAAAACCATGTTGTGTTATTCTTTGAGAATTTTCATACAATATTTTTTTTGTTTTATTTTCTTTCATCATTATTACTTTAAAGTTATAATGTAATTACATTTTCCCTTTTGCTTTACTCCCTCCAAATGTCCCCATATACCCTTTCTCCTTCAAAATTCATGACCTCTTTTTTCACTAATTGTTATTACATGCATATATATATATATTCCTTAATATAATCTACTCAAACTGTTATTTGTTATTTGTATGTATCTTTTCAAAGCTGCCCATTTCTCTCTGCCTTACTATCTCCTTTTTTCCTCTAATGATCCCTTTTTTTCTAGTTTTATGACCTATCTCTATACTCATATCCACATATATACACATGCATAAATATTGAAAGCTACACTCCATCTATGAATGACAACATGTGCTATTTGCCTTTCTGAGCCTGAGTTAAGTCACTTACTAAATTAATTTCTGGATCTTTCCACTTAGCTACAAATTTCATAATGTAATTTTTCTTTGCTGCTGCCTAAAATTCTATTGTATAACACTTCATTATCCATTCATCTGTGAAAAACATCTAGGCTAATTCCATTTTCTTACAGCAGTAAATATATGTTTATGAGTTTATTTGTGGTAGGATTCTTTTGTGTATATACCTGGGAGTGCTGCAGCGGGTTCATATGGTAGTCCTGTTATATATATATATATATATATATATATATATATATATATATGAACTTCAAACTGATTTCCAGAATGGCTTTACCAATTGACACACCCAGTTGTGATTAAAGGTTCTTTTCCCCACGTCTTCACTAGCATATGTTGTCATTTGTTTTCTTAGAGGACCATCCTATAGTTATCATTTCTCTTCTTCCTCCTTGCTTGAGTCAGTCACCCTGGTTTGCTATTGAGCTGTGTGATTTTACCCACCAAGCCATTATTTATTTTCTTGTTGATACCCATTCTGAATGAAATGAGACGAAATCTCAACATAGTTTTAATTTGCATTTACCAGATAACTAAGGATATTATTCTCTTCTCAATATGTTTATTGTATCCCTTATTTTGAGAACTGTCTGGTCATTTTATTCACTATTTATTGATAACATTTGGGTGTATTTGTTGTTATTTAATTTTGTAGCTTATATAGTCTAGCTATTAAAATTCTGTCAGAAGTATCTTTTGAAAACTGTTTATTTCATTAACCTATTTATAGATTGGTCGTTTGGATTTTTGTGTGTATGTGTTTAGTTTTGTAGTTATTGATATATGATATACTCTTTCTTTCTTCTATATATTTAGTAATGCTTCAACTGTGGTATGCCATAGGAAGTTTCTGTTCTGATCTTTTCAGTTTTGTGTTCTGTGTGTTTCTTATATCTGTATGCATATGGTTTTCCTTAGTTTGGGGAGTTTTTCTTCCCTAATTGTGCTGAGGATCTGGTCTATGTCATTGACCTGGTTCTGCTCTCTCTTCTATGCTTATAATTCAAAGATTTGATGTTTGTATGGTCTCAAATTTCATGCCTATTCCTTTCATCTGTTAACTTTTTAAATAGTCTTTGTATATGTGAGCTAGTTTTTTTTTTATTTTACCTTCAAGTCCTGATAGTCTGTCTTCTACTTAATCCTTTCTACTGTACAACTTAATCCCCCCCACCCTCCGCTGAGGTTTTTACCTGAGTTACTGAGTTTTTTAAAATTCATTTCATTTTTAACTTCTGTTCTCTTCTATATTTCTTTTTATTGGATTGAGTTTTCAGAACAGGATCAGAGGAGAGTACATACAAAGAAGCACAAAGAGTTCTGTGGTGCTTGAGTAATTCTGTACCTTGATTGTGATACTGTTTATTTGAATCTAGACATGTGATGCATAGAAACACATACATCATATTCACATATTGGTGAGCGCAGGTTACATATGTTGAAAAGCAGAATGAGTTCTATATTTTCTTTTGATAGTAATGCACCAATGTCAAATTCCTGGTTTCGATACAGAACTGGAAGTATATTAGATATACAAGTTGCTGCTTGAAGGGTAGATAGATCTTGATCAGCTCTCTTCCTGTGAGGATATGACTGTTTGAAATAAAAGGTTTCAATCAGTGGTTCACGTTTGTCTGGATGGTTTAATTTCTAATTGTGCTAAAGGTGGAATAATATGGAAAGCCATTTGCCACACCTTGCCCTACTATATCGAAAGGCCAGGAAACTAACACAAACATACCCAATGAAAGATCTACATGGAAGATAACCTCTCCTACTTCATTAGTATTTTAGTACACAGATTTCTTTGCTTTTTGAGAGTATTTTCATGGGAAAATACATATAACTCTGCAGTTATATTTAGTTTTAGTGCTTGTTCTGTGCTATGTGCTGTGCTTTTTCTGCCAATAACACAGGACAAATGACATTTACATGTTCTGGTTACTTAAGAGAATGTGCTCCCCAAATTGACCAAACCTAAAAAACATTTTCAAGAAAGTAAAATAGTACAACTTGAATATGTTAAATTCTGTCATTAGTCACTGTAGCTGGGCAAAGGTATAATAAGCTGTGAATTAGGAGAATTGCATGGTTATTTTAACTATCACTTTTCTTTCTACTCAAAAAAATGTATTGGAATGCAGATGAGGAAATTATACTTCATTATATGAAAAATCTGGAATCATCTCAAATTTATTTAAATTACTTATGATATAATTTACAATGACTTCAATAATGTATTATGAAAACACTAATTTTAAGTTACAAAAGAAGTAAAATGTATAGGCCCTCCCTTGTAACAAGCTGATATATCTGTAGCATACTGGAAATTTTTCTGACTTCAAGTACCAGGCTTTAATTTTGACCTCGCCTCTGCTGTTTACCACTAATGTCATTAAACCTCATAGCACCTGCCTTTCCTCAGATATTGTGTATAACATATACATGCATAAAAGTTCATAAGTATATCATAAGAGTGATAATGTTGAAATATAAACTATAAAATGTGCTGCAAGTTCTAAGAACATGTTATGAATGATAAGAGGTTCAGATTGAGCTTTGGAAAGTGAAAAAATAGTGGGGAAGAGTGGATAGTTAGCAACCTTAAAAAGTCAAGCCTGGTACCATTCCATAGTACAGGTAGTACATAGATAATTGAAATCTTGATCAGGGAGATTTACATAGGTTCCATTAGGAAATAGTTAATTTGTATGTTTAACAAGACAGTAGCATTGCAATAAAGCAGGTGGTACCTTTTCAGTATGTTTAATACGCCATATTCATTGTGTTTTTTAAAGTCTGTAATTGAATCTTTTCAAAAGTACTTTGATAGTCTGATAAATTTGCTGAACTTAAGAGTTGCTTTCTGTATTAGAACTTTTAGTATATTTTAAAAGAACAGGGCAAATGAAACCATTTGATGCTTGATAGGTTTCTTTTGTATGATAGTAGAACAAAGACTATTGTGGGCTAAACAGATCTGGCAGTGGTATTTTTCCCCAATAGTGAATCAATCATAGACACTTTTCACGTTTTAGCTTTTATGATCCTCTTTGGTATATAATTTCAACTTCAACTTGTCTGGTAAAAAAATCACGTTGAAATATTTATTCCCTCTTATATGGAAAACATAGGACAAAAAGGAGTAATATGATGTAAATCCTCAAGGATATAATTGGAAAGAAAAATATATACATAGATAACTATAATATAAAACATAGTTAATTATAGTTGTAAATTAATATTAACATGGCAGTGTGTCATAGGAATCCTAAAATAGCAGAGCTTCCAGTGCCAAAGATTTTTATCTTTATAAATTGGAAAAATCATTTCAATTCCAGCAAATGTATTCCAGTAAACATTACCAGAAATAATAATTTAAGAAAAATATTTGTACTTTTATAATAAATGTTTTATGTGTGATGGGTAATTGATGTTTTTTTTTATATTTTTAGGCCATGAATATTGTGGTTCCTTTCATGTTTAAATATGCTGTAGACAGCCTCAACCAGATGTCGGGAAACATGCTGAACCTGAGTGATGCACCAAATACAGTTGCAACCATGGCAACAGCAGTTCTGATTGGCTGTATGTGCGATTCTTTAATCTTTCTACAGGTGTTGACTTTCTTCAAGAAGGTTTCATCATATTTGAGCAGATGACCTTTTAACTACAAATACAACTTAGCATTTTGGATTTTTATTATTTTGTGGGAAATTTTTTGATCTGTTTTCAAAAATTCATTGTATGATATGCTTTGCAAAACTTCTGTGATATGGCAGTATTTTCCGTGTATGAAAAAAAGGATAATATAAAACAAGACATTAAATGCATTGCCACAACCTTCACTAGACTTTTTATAAGATACCTTTCTAGGAAACCCAGTTCTTTTCTCACTGTTAATGAAAGTAGCTAATTAATGATATATGAACATTCGTGCTTTGTTAAAATATACTTAGTGGCCGAGACAAACAAATACAATTTGAAAATAATAGAATGTTCTTTCAAATGCACTGGAGCCCCATATATTTGAAAGGACATTTTGTAATACTTCAGAGCAGAAGCAAGGGCTTGCTAAAAGCACTTGACTCTTCAGTATCTAAGCCTTTCACATTTGTTATTGAGAGAATTGAATTAGATATTGTGCACTTACCCACAATGAGGCCATCTGGTCTATTCTACATTAAAAGTATTTTAATTGGAAAAAAAATCTTTCAGAATCTGAAATCTAGGGTCAAATAACATAGAAAGGGATTCATGATGATGAAAAGGTTAGTATTCATTAGAGTAGATGAGTCCTAGGCTTCTTTAGAGTAAATATTCTCTGGTATATTTATTTATTGGATGAACTGTTCATTGTACAAAGATTTCCTGCAGCCTTGCCACTTACACTGCTATGATTCTAACGTTTCTATGCCTCCCTTTACTTTTTTCTTTTGTTGTGTTAGATGGTGTATCAAGAGCTGGAGCTGCCTTTTTCAATGAAGTTCGAAATGCAGTATTTGGCAAAGTAGCACAAAATTCAATCCGAAGAATAGCCAAAAATGTATTTCTCCATCTACACAACTTGGATCTGGGTTTCCATCTGAGCAGACAGACAGGAGCTTTATCTAAGGCTATTGACAGAGGAACAAGAGGCATTAGTTTTGTCCTCAGTGCATTAGTATTTAATCTTCTCCCTATTGTGTTTGAGATGACGCTTGTCAGTAGTGTTTTGGTAAGTAATACGTTTTTCATAGTAAGCTTTTTATCTTACAGTCTTATTAATAGCAAGTGAATATTTGAAGCTGTTATGCTTCTGCATACCATGATGCCAGAAAGATTATATAGTTTGTTTCATTATTTTGCCACAAGCATCAAAGGACTGTCTAAATTCTCTGTTATTCTTTTAAACATCTAGATCATTGATTAGTGCTTCTAATTTTTTTTCTCAATAATTTTGTATGTCACATATTGGATTGATGTGCTCAGAATATTTACATTTCAATTTATGGACCCTAACAAGTTAAACCTGTGTAAACTTTTAATTAATTCCTCTTTAGGCTTAAACTGTTTCAGTGTTAGAATTTGATGGTATAATTGTGGCGGGTACCATTTGACTTTCTTTTCTTGTTAATTTGAGTGATTGTCTAAGGTATTTGATTTTTAATCCACTATTGATTAAGGTAACATGCCATCATCGTAGTCTTTATAAATATCCTTTGACTGAAACTTGCTGCTGTGATGCTTTAAAGTGAGAAGAACATCAACTGTTTTTTTTTCAAAAAAAATTGTTTCATTTTGTTGTTTTTAAAACAATAATTTTAAGAAAAGTAATGCTTTGTATTTATCTGAAGTGCATAGTATTTTAGATAACACTTTCAAAGAAAGCTATAGTATTCTCTACAGGCTTTCCAGTTTGCCAAGTTTTAGACTTAAACAAAACTGCCATATTCAGTTATAATTTTGGTTCAAAATATAATTAAGCATGATTCATAATCATATTTTAGTAAAATAACTTTTCACATTTTTACAGTGCTACTTTATTCCATTTTATTTTACATGACAGAGAATGCTGCCAGAGATTATACCATCAAATTCTAACACCGAAACAGTTTAAGCCTAAAGAGGAATTCATTAAAAGATTACACAGGTTTAACATGTTAGGATCCATAAATTGAAATGATAAAACTCTCACTTATTTATTGGTAAATGATGAAAGTCAAAGACAATTTAACCACTTCTCATTTCTTCTTTTGACTTCTTTTTCAGTATTACAAATGTGGTGCCCAGTTCGCGTTGGTAACCCTAGGAACACTTGGTGCATATACAGCCTTCACAGTTGCAGTTACACGGTGGAGGTATGATATTCCCCAGAGGCTAGTCAAGAGTGCAGAAATTAGTTATGGTATAGCATATGTCTGATGCTATGTAAATCTTTGTCTTACAGAACTAGATTTAGAATAGAAATGAACAAAGCAGATAATGATGCAGGTAATGCTGCTATTGACTCACTGCTGAATTATGAAACTGTGAAGGTAAGCTGTTTAAGTATCTTGTCATCTGCCTTTCACACCAAGATGTGTTCTGTTATGTAATTTAATGGTCACCATAAGAATATAAGATTAGAATAGGATCTCTAGGTATGATGAAATAATACTACTTCATTTTTCTTTTGTTTAGAAAATGTTCCCTGTCTTTCCTCTTCAGTTTTTTGGAAATATCAGAATTTTACTTTCTGAATTAGTTTATAAATGATCATAAATATGATTAGCATCCGTATTCCAAATGAATATTAGCTAATTAAGCTGATGTGCACGTTCTTTTTATGCTTCAGAGTGCCTAGTATAGTGCTTTTCCTTAATTATTTCATTCATTTTTGCATTAATTCGCTGAATAATTGCTGAATTCTTCTCATGCAAAAAACACTATGCTAAATGCTATAATGGGAGAAGGTGGTAAAAGTAGATCACAATGTCATCCTTGACTTCCTGTGATTTTATAATATGCTAGAAAAGTAAAATAAGTATTCAGATGATTCATCAAAAAGGCATGATATGGTGAGGGCAATGGGAACCAGGAATTCAAGGCGTCAGGGCAAGGCTTTGTGAAGGAAGTGCCACAAATAGAAAGCATGTTTAAATAATAAGTTTTAGGTTCTAATTGATTAGCTAGTTACTAAATGTTTATTGGATGAATTTTTAACATAATTCATCATTTGAAAGCTTTCAGAAATACCATAATCTAATATTGAAAGTATATATATTTTTCATGCATATGTGTGTATATGTGTGTGTGTGTGTATCTGTTTTTATTTTTGACAATTTCATACAGTATATAATGTATTCTGATTTTATTCACTTTCCCCACACTATCCCTTCTTATCCCCTTCCCACTCCTGCTGACCCATTTTTTTCTTCAAAGTTCAGTTTTATAAAGGATCTGTAGTAAAGTATATCCATATATCAAATGTAATGAAATTTATACCAATTGTATATATTCTGATTAATCCATAGTTACTATTTTTATATATTTGTAGTATTTTAATAATGAAAAATATGAAGCACAAAGATATGATGGATTTTTGAAGACATATGAGATGGCTTCATTGAAAAGTACCTCTACACTGGCTATGCTGAATTTTGGCCAAAATGCTATTTTCAGTGTCGGATTAACAGCTATAATGGTGCTTGCCAGTCAGGGAATTATAGCAGGTAATGGGTCTATGGGTATCACATTTAGAAACTATTATAAATGGGTTAATGAAAAGAATAAATGTTTTGTGTTAATTGTAAAGTGTGTTCAACAAAATATTTAGCCATTTTAGGGTGTTTTTCTTTTCCTCTGAGAATGTATTTTATTGATATTTCTTTTATTTCCTTTTGGTTAACACTGACTTACTCATTGAAGGTAAGAATTCTACTATTTATGCATTTTATGGGTCTGTAACCCAATTCTTTAGGAGAAACATTTTTTTAAAAATTAACCATGTAAAATTTTTACTTTTATGATACCTTTTTAAAAAATGTCTTTATTAATTTGAGACATCAGATTAATTTGAGACCTTTTTACTATCTAACATGTTTAATTTTTCTTCTAGACCTGGAAAGTAATGGCATTAATTTACTCTTTAGTTCAAAAGACTTGTTTTATAATTACCAGTATCTTTCTTGTAGTTTTCATTTACAAGTAATAGCTGTACCTGCTCCTCATTCATTTGGTATGACATTAATATGAGATATATCATTATTCTTTGTCATGATATCCATTTACTCCAAATTTTAATATATGTTCTTTTACAAATTTTTTTGTACTGTACAACAAATATTTACTTACGCCTTAGAGGAAAAAAACAGAAGTATTTTTAACCTTCCACTTCTACCATTACTTCAGTCATCCTTTTTGTATATTAAACATAGTGTATAAGTATGCTTTTTCCTTTCCATACAATGTACACTAAGTTCCTACATTACCTACTTTATGCATTCATATGCTGTGCAATTTGTGTCACTTTAAATGTTGCTGATTATGTACACTTAGAACTATTTGTCATAGAAATTGGCTATAAAACTCTGTCCTAAGCTAAGAAAGTTTATACCATTTCTTTCTTCTTCTGATTGCATAATAAGGTGCCCTTACTGTTGGAGATCTAGTGATGGTGAATGGACTGCTTTTTCAACTTTCATTACCCCTTAACTTCTTGGGAACTGTATATAGAGAGACAAGGCAAGCACTCATAGATATGAACACCTTGTTCACTCTGCTCAAGGTAGACACGCGGATTAAAGTAAGTAATGCATACAGTAGCCGTTTCAAAAGAACATGAACACTCTCCCATGAATATTGGGTTGTTCTAGAACAGCTGTTCTCAACCTTTGGCCATGACCCCTTTAGGGGGTCTCATACCATTTATCCTGCATGTCAGATTCACAACAGTAGCAAAATTACAATTATCAAGTACTAACAAAATAGTGTTATGGTTAGGGGTCACCACAACATGAGGAACTGTATTAAACAGTTGCAGCATTAGGAACATTGAGAACTACTGTTCTAGGAGAATATTCTTATATCACTATGTTAGACAAACAAGTTATTTACCATCATTTCTTCCACAACTCTTCACCAAGAAAATGTTCCTAGTAATCAAAATATATAGGAATTTCTTACCCACATATTTGTATGCACTGAGGAATGAAAAAAGAATGTGAACATGGCCTTATTCCATTTACATAAACCTCCTTTCCCATATTTTTCCTTGTCTGTCTGTCAATTAAAGACATTGTATGCAGAGCTTACTCAAAGTAGTATATTAAGTTGTTTTTTGTTTTTTCTTCCCTGCTAGGACAAGGTGATGGCATCTCCCCTTCAAATAACACCACAGACAGCCACAGTGGCCTTTGATAATGTGCATTTTGAATACATTGAAGGACAGAAAGTCCTTAGCGGAGTATCTTTTGAAGTCCCTGCAGGAAAAAAAGTGGCCATTGTAGGAGGTAGTGGGTCAGGGTGGGTAATTTGTTATTTATAAAATTCTACATTATTGACTTATAATTCTGGATGTGAATTTTTATCATAGGGAAATAATTATTATACTTAAATGGAGCTTCCCTAATGACAACAGATGCTGATTAACCTTTCTTCATCTCTAATTGCAGAAAAAGCACGATAGTGAGGCTGCTGTTTCGCTTCTATGAGCCTCAAAAGGGTAGCATTTACCTTGCTGGTCAAAATATACAAGATGTGAGCCTGGAAAGTCTTCGGCGGGCAGTGGGAGTAGTACCTCAGGTATTTAAAAACTGAATGTAATTCTTAGAGGGTTGTAGGATATATTACTATAATTTGAATCTAAGGAATCAACATATGCTAATGAAGTAGATAATGTTAGACCTTTCAAGTGAAATTCTGCTACCGAACAGATGTGGTTTTTTTGAGACAGGGGCTCACCATGTAGTCCTAGCTGGCATGTAACTCAGTATATGAATCAAACTGTCCTCACAGTAGTTCACCTGCCTCAATCAAGCAGACATGGAGTCTAACCCTAGGTCTAAGACTGATCAGTTTTGTGATACTCATCTCAGTTTCCTCATTATAAATAGATGTTACTTATTATTATATTCTAGAGAATACACACATACAGGCACACACACACACACCAAGTACAATACTCACAATATAAATGTTCAGAAAATTAAAAGTAATTTTGAATAGCTTTCAACATATTGTTTATAATTAAAAAGTAGTTTATCTACCAAACTTAAGTTTTATGCCTTATTTGCTATTGTGTGCCCTCTTCACTATGAGGCATACAGTATGTGACACATTGTAATAATTTTTAAATGTCTAGTAAGTGATGTTGGTCCAGGAATGGAAATTTAAAGTAAAGCCTGAGAAAACAAGAAGTAAATAGTCTTATAGGGTGTATGGTTTTATTTTAAAATCTATAAAGGAATCAGAGGTTCTGCCTAAATGGTAGAGTACTTATCTGATTCATGAAACCAGTATCAGATCTCTGGGAGAACAGATTATATTGGGAAAGGAGAGGAGAAAACCTGTAAGAAAGTCATCAGGAAGGATGTAGTGATCACACGTGAAATTCCAGCACTCGGAAGGTTATGATAGGATAATTGACTTCAGTTTGAGGCAGCCTGGGCTACAATGCATTCCAGGAAGGTCTGAACTGCTGAGTGGGATTCTGTCTTTAAAACACACACACACACACACACACACACACACACACACACACACACACACAAACTAAAGATCTCCAAGTGCTCCAGCATATGACACTCCTTTCTATCCTGTGTTTTCCTGACAATTCCAAATTTTAGTGGGTATGACCCTAGGGAAAATTGTTGAAATTCCACTCCTTTTTCATGTGCTCTGCTTTTAATGGTGGAGTGCGTTGTGAGCCCAGAACTCTGTTTTTTAGTATTCATCTTGGATGAATCAGATAGATAGATAGATAGATAGATAGATAGATAGATAGATAGATAGA